TGAAGGTCTGGACGCCTCCCAAGCGGTCACCCCTCCTAAACGGTCTCTACTCCCACAAATTCTTTATCTACGCAGCTGCTGGAATTAATTTTTAAAGACAAAAGATAATTTCATTCTTCTTGCTTAAAATCCTCCCATGGGTCCCCATCACAATTCATATTAAGGTTGAACTTTAGCCCTGGCTGGCGTGGCGCAGTGCTGAGCATCAGCCTGCAGACCGAAGGGTCGAAGGGTCGCTGGTTCGATTCCTGGTCAAGGGCATGTCCCTGGGTTGCAGGTTGTGCGGAAAGCAACCAGCTGTTGTGTCTCTCTCACCTCAATGTTTTTTCTCTCTCTCTCTCACACTCATGGATGTTTCACTCCTTCCCCCTCCCTCCCTTCCACTATCTCTAAAAAAAAAATCAATGGAAAAAAAAATATCCTTGGGTTAGAGGATTAACAAGATTGAACTTTAGTGTGGCTTACAAAGCCTGGTTTTTCTTTCCAGGTTTATTCACCCCAGATTACATATTCCAAAAATGGCTGTAATAACATAACTCATTCCGCATGCTCTTCTAGAATCCTGCTGTTTCCACATCAAGAGACAGTCTAACTCCACTCCCCTTCAAAAGGTGACACTGTGACTTCTTAGGCTAGGTCATAAAAGGTAATACAGCATCTACTTTGTTAGCAGAAGACTCTCCTGGACACCTGAGCCTCTTGGTAAGAAGCCTGAGTACTCTGAGGACCCTGTGCTGTAAGGAAGCCCAAAATAGTCCACCTGGAGAGACCCTAAGGCTATGTGAAGGGAGAGGCTCCCAGCTGCTCCAGCCCCCAGCAGGAGAGAACCCCCAGGCCAGTCCTACCCAAGCCCTTCCTGAATTCCTAATTCAAAGAAATTGTGAGGGATAATAAAATGGTTGTAACTGTTTAAGTTTCTAAATTTTAGTGCTAATTAGTTGTGCAACAATAGATAACTGGGACATCAATCTTTGATTTTTGCCATTCTAATGTGAAGTTGAATTTCCCTGTGGTTTTAAGTGCCATGTCCCTGATGACTAATATTGTTATTAGCACTTTTTAAAGCTATCTACTGGCCATTTGAATATCTTACTGTGTAAAGTGTCTGTTGAAGTCTTTTCCCATTTTGTAATTGGAATGTTTATATTTTTGTTGTTGATTTGTAAGAGCTCTTTATATGTCTTGGATATAAAATCCTTTCTCAGATATATGGCTGCAAAGGTTTTTTTTCCAGGTCTGCAGCTTTTGGATTAATTTTCTTAATGCTGTCTTTTTATTTATTTATTTATTTTTAATCCTTACCTGAAGATATTTTTCCATTGATTTTCAGAGAGAGGGGAGGGGAGAGAAACATTGATGTGAGAGAGACACATCGATTGGTTGCCTCCTGCACATGCCCCAACCGGCCAGGGATCAACCCACAACCCAGATACATGCCCTTGACCAGGAATCAAACACGAGACCCTTTGGCCCACGGGCCAACACTCTAACCACTGAGCCACGCTGTCCAGGGCAATGGTGTCTTTTGACAAGCAGAAATNAGCATGAGACCCTTTGGCCCACGGGCCAACACTCTAACCACTGAGCCACGCTGTCCAGGGCAATGGTGTCTTTTGACAAGCAGAAATTTTAAATTCAGATGAAGACATTTTTACCAGTTTTTTCTTTTTATATCCTGCCCAAGGAAACCTGTCCCTACTCCTACATCACAAAGACAGTCTTCTGTTTTCTTCAAGAAACCTTATAGTTCTGGGGTTTTAGGTTAGGTCCATGATCCATCTCAAATTAATTTTGTGAATTAAGTCAGCTAGGGGTCAAGATTCTTTTTTTTCCAAATGGATTTCTAGTTGTTCCAGCAATTTTCATTGAGAAAGCACCCTTTTCCCTATCAACTTACTTGTTACTTTTGTAGAAAATCAATTAACTGTATGTGTGTGAGTATATTTCTGGACTCCGTTCTGTTCCCTCGAGCTATCTGTTTCTCCTTACACCAATCCTAATAGAAGAGGGGCACATAACAGAAACAGAATTACCGTTGTTTAATAGCTATTCACTACACTAACAATAGAAAAGAGATCTTTCTTACAGACCTTGGGGAACTGGAGGACATGCTGCAGGAATAGGGCTGTAAAGATAAGGTGGCCTCGAAGCCCAGATGGGTCCATTACTCAGAAAAGAAGATACATTTTAAGTGCAAGTCAAGGACGGGACCTGTCTGAAGGGAAACAGCATTCTGGGACTAATCTTTGCAAGGACAATGATAGAAAGCAGACAGTGGGAAATCACTAGGTTTTTTCCCCACCCCCTAACCCTATATAAGGGCTGGCTTGAAACGAGATGTCAGAGAGGTCTTTTCAGGGTACAAAAAGCACCACAAAGATTCAATCTCATCTCTGCTTACTTGACTCTGGTAGCGACGGGTAGCAGGGTCTTTGTTCCAAAACACAGATGTGAGAGAAACATTGATTGGTACTTTCCCCAATCGGGGATTGAACCCACAACCTGGGTATGTGCCCTAACCAGGAATTGAACCCAAAACTCTTCGGTGCATGAAGCGCAACGCTCCAACCAACTGAGCCACACTGGCCAGGGCTATAGTAAGTCTTGCTATAAGGTAGTGTAAGTTCTCCAACTTTGTTCATTTTGAAGTTTGTTTTGATTATTTTACAGTCTTGGTTTTCCATGTACATTTTCAAAAAATCTTGTCTATTTCTTCAAAATAGCCTGCAGGGATTTTGATGGGGGTTCCATCAAATCTATAAAGTTTGTCACTCCTATACTCAATAATAGCAGTCATTAGTACTGATGCACACACAGGCATGTGTGGACACATTGCTCTGTAAAGGACCCCTCTGTTCTGTGTGTCCTCCGTCCTCCATCCACTAATTGTGGTGGGCAGTTAGACAGACATGAGCAGAGCAAGGACGATGGGCCAGGTATAGAAGGTCACCAGGGTGGAAAGCCCCCGATGCCTAGCAGCGGACAATTGTTGGGTGGCACCTCGTCCCCAGGGTGACCTTTCCTCCCCTAGCATAGAGCTGGTCTTGTGGTTTAGACCCTCTGACCTTTCTTCACTAGAGAGAACATCTAGCCCTGGGTCGTATTTCAGCTCCAGGCCCAGAAAAGCAGCAAAACCAGACAAGCAACCTCAGGACCAGCAGCACTGAATAATGACCCTCTGTCCTGATGCTGACCCCCTTCCCCCTT